GGCCGAGCCACCCAGATAGCCACCCAGATCTGGGCCCAGATCTGAGCCCAGATCTGGATTGAGATGCCTATAAATAGAGAAGGAGGGCTCATTGTTTAAAGGTTGGACTTTTGATTAAACTTTGGAGGCGAAACTCTGCCGGATCAAGAGCTAAACCTCGGAGTTTTGGAGCTTGGAAGACTCGGGCTTTTCAGATCTGGTTCTTGGCGGTCATCCACGTCAAATAAGGCAGGAGTTCGAGAGAGATCAGATCTGAGATCCACACGGTTATCCTCCGGATCAAAACTTGGTTTTTGATCCCGAGAAGAGTATCGATTTCGCTTGGTCGATTTTGATTACTTAGGGCTATTATTTCCTTGGCGAAATAATCCCCTCGGCTGTTATTTCCTTTGTGAAATAGCACCCATCATACCGTGTAGATCCGACCGGATCAAGATCGCGCGGTGGTCCACGGATTAACCCCGGCGCAGGCAAAGAACCCACACAAGCAAGAGACCGCAAAACAGGATCTTGCGATTTGTTCCAGAAAAGGAAAGTTGTAATTTTATTTTGATTTTGTTGTAACCGGATCTTATAAAAAGACCGGATCTTTTGTAACCGATAAACTGTTGCACAAGAAAACAATGACTTCAATGAAAACGATTTTCCCCGCGAACACGTGTAATTTAAAATACCAACTTTGCAAAATCAACCTCTTTTTTGGCTAGCAGTGATGAACTGACTAAAATAAGATCAATTTTGTTAATTTTAGTATGAAAAGGTTAATTTTGCTAGTATTGTTTCAAAAAGGTCTATTTTAAAAAGTTCACCATTTTAGAATCATATCATCTCGTGCTCATGTGTATCTTTAAGAAATTACCTCTGTGCATCTCCTAGATGGTATATTGAAACCTCTTCAATCAAAATCCAATTACAGTGGACAATCTTTTGCATCCAGCAGAAAAACACCTTGGAATTATTAGAGGACAGAACCTTACCCTTTAAATACACCGAAAAGTTGGGCGGGATACTCAAGAAGTGAATAAATTTAAGCAAATCAGATAACATCCAATTCTAATGCTTGAAAATTTGAACTGTCACCATCAGTAATGAAACCTCTGCGTAATATATTAAGGTGTAAAGGTTATACTGATGCAAACTGTGGTTGCTAATTATAAAGGGGAAAACAACCTACTAATCGCCGGGAAAAAGTTACACAATCAAACTGCAGTGGCCAACCCATCTTCCAAACTAACATATTTTCCATGAAATGCGCGAATTAGTTGCTATAAGTCCAATTGTTAGTAGTATGACTCGCACAACTTGTCATTTGCATGGCTGACTTATGGTGGATGGCTGACTTATGGTGTGTTTTTTGTGCCTAAGATTGTTCGTAGTATACTATCTTTATCTAACTGTTGGAAAATTGGGTTAGAATTATGATTGAAATTAAGCTTTCAAAGTCGGAAGGTAACTTCTTTCGGTGTGATTGGGGCGCGCGAATGCATTATCCTGAAGAACAAATTTAGCCCCTCAGAGAGTATATCTCGGTGCAACAAGTTATCGGCAGCCTTCCCTCCAAGATTCAACGATTGTTAGCTGAGCAAGCATGCACTCAAAATGCTATAGGCCCTCAAACAACTAAGTTTTATTTCTTCCTCAACAATTCCTGGAATGGAGAGTTTTCAGAAAGACAATAGTGAAGAGGAAGAAGAGAGAAGAGAGTTATGTTTTTTTATGTGTTTTAAAGGAGGTTTTATATAGGGAAAACAAGATCGGCAATAAATCTTTGACGACAAAAGATTTGCTCCGGTAGCCAAACGACTATAATTTTATGGAGCAGTGAGAAGCTCAAGTCACACCCACGAGGCTCCATAACCTGAATTTGCACCCCCACTATGGTGGGGTTAATCACCTAGAACTTAAAATTAGAACTGAGATAATATGTGGGATAAATTTTTAAGGTGTTAGTCACATAGAACTAAAACTAGAACAAAATTTTACAGTGTTAGTCAAGTAGAACTCTAACAAAACTAGAATTGAGATAATGGTACAAAATTATACAGTGTTAGTCAAGTAGAACTCTAACAAAACTAGAATTGAGATAATGGTACAAAATTATCCCATTTTTTATTTTCTTATACAAAATAAGAGTTCTAGTCTCTCAAATTATTCCAAGTTTTAGCTTGGAACTAGGTGGTAAAAAACTAGAACTCATATTTATTTTGTTATTTTTTATTTTTTATATTCCTTTTTTTCCTTTGCTTCTTTCTTATTATGGTACTTATCACCATCATTAGACCATCATTATAATAATAATTATCAATATCTTATAGTCTAACCAAAAATTATTTAATAGTAAAGAACGTTATTGTAAGCAATTATTAATCAATAATAGTAAGTTTAAAATACATAAATACTATTTATATCTTCAAAATACATAAATATATATTTCATGATTATAAAAAAAATATCACAAGTTATTTTATCAAAATATCCCGCTTCACAAAATTAATCCTATTTATCCCACTAAAATATCACAAGTTGTGGGGTTTTATAAAGGGGGAAAATGACCTACGACAAATTTTCTGCAATAAATCTTTTGACATATATAGGGACGCTGTTGACGGGAATTTTATGTTGGTAAGCTCGTGGGTTTTATACAAGGAAAATAAGATCTACAATAAATCTTTTGACAAGTGTTTTATATAGGGAAGCCGTGGGCTTCATAAAGGGAAAACAATATCTACGATTTATCTTTTGACAACAAAAGATTTTCTCGAGTAGCTAAGCAAAGGCTATAATTTTATTGGGTAGAGTAAAACTCTAATTTTGTGTTCTATTGTGCTTGTGTGCATGCGAGGATCACTCTATCCCTAGGTTCATTAGACACACTAAGAAAGATCAACACATATAAACACTTCAAACACGTTCTCATTTTCCCATGTGAAACTAAAGGAAAGCACTCAATTTTGAAATACGTTTAATGCTAGCACTATCCACATGCACAGAAAGATGAACGAGATCGGTCTATAATCTCGAAAAGAAAGTCTATCCTTTCTATAAATGCGAAAGCAACTACCAAAGCATCCACCCCCAACCTCCACCTAACGTAAAAAATAAAGAGACTACATGTGCATGCAACTGGTACGGTGCATTGCAATTACAGGTGCAATGAAGCAAGAAGCCCCTGCACCTCTCGCAATCACAAGGTTTCCAGCTCCGTTTTCCCCGACAGATGCCAAATCTTCAGAGCATAAGATAAGCAAAAGAATTATATGCACATTTCAGTATTGCATGAACAGTAACCAGTATCCAACTATCTCACAAATCCAATGGGGTACAGTACAACAAACACTAAACAATTAGATGAATACAATAAACAAAAAAAAAACAAAATTTGGGCAAAAAATAGTGGGAAAGGACAAAAGAAAATATGTGACCCGAGTGCTCCGCAATTACATTTATGACTCTCCAATCTTGTTCTTTGCTTCTACTATTTGGTGATCTCTGCAATATGCTGCAACACCCACCAAGAATTGTGTGGGTACTGATATGCTTCACCATTCTCATGCGCATTTAGGATGATGAATCCTTGAATCAATATGATACTAAGGAAAAGAATCACTTTTGCCATTTTTGATGCAATTGGTTCCCTTTTAACTGTAAACGGAGGGGCACTGCTTTTGCTTCAACTGCATCACCCATCCCTGGACAAAACTTCTAGATTGTTGTTGTTGTATTGCTGTTGTTGTTTTGTTGCTTCTTTAATAAAAATACCCTGCTCCAGCTGCAAAATGGCTCAATCCTCCTATTCCTATTCTTCAGGTTCCAATATGTGACATTTCCTTATAAAGTCATTAGAGTAGTTTACATGCTTTGTCCAGAAAGGCTGCAGGTGCTTGTATCCTATCTCTAGCCATGGCTTACACTGTCCATTGTAATGTATCACAGCAGAATTCTTGACACTCTCCAGGTTAGACTTCTCTTGGTAACCCAACCCAAGCATGTGCCAGGAGGGGTCGATAGGATGCACATTGCCTCTGAATGCTATTAATGCTGGAGGTAATGTTCCGAGCTTCCATAAAGTCAAATTTGATCCTAGATTCTGCAACCAAAGTATAATTATTGGATAATCATAATACAAGTGCACTTGTTATGCATGTATATTAGTACGTTGATGCAATGGTTATTCTTTCCTCGATATATCCTTAATCCATTAGGCCAAGATGATTGGGTACCTATGTTACCTGGGTACTTCTGAGTGACGTACCCATACCCGACATGTACCCCTACCTGTAGCCGTATCCGTACCGAAACTTCTTGGACACTCCTTGCATATATGCATACATTTATTCAGGCATCTACTCAATTATACAATACATGTTTTAATTTAAAACACTTGTCAATACATTTTTCGAACATATATCCTACAGTTCATGCCCAATTCTTGAAACTCAATGGACATAAGTTAGGTTCCGAGCTATGATTTTAAAGAGTCTTTTGGATGTCTAGTTCAAAAACTAGCAATTTTTCAATTTATAATCCGCATAATAAAAGAAGCATAAGATGTTGTAGTAATGTTATAGGGATTTAAATTCACATGACACGTGAATGAAAACAATATTGATCTAATGTAAATTATTAATTCCAATATATAATATGTATGTGTATATAAATATTTATATAGTCGGGTCTCCGTACCCTACCTTTTTTTACAAACTTGTCGTGTCACCTACCCACACCCATACCTGTAACCATACCTGTCACAATAACGACACCTTTATTTTAAATTCTATAAAGTTGAGGTTTTCTATTTATGAAATTGAGGGGGTGTTCATGTAAAACACCCAAAGCAAAGGAGATGTTTAGAACATATTATTTAAGGTAAAATTGTGGTGCCATGTGTATTGTCAACAACAAGGCCTTCAATTTTTAACAGGGTGAAAAATGGAAAATCGCGTCATCAAAAGGAACAAAAGGTAAAATGTTTGGAAATAGCAAAATGAACACAGATATTACCTCCTTCACCCAATAATGATATGTGCTCCTGATACTTGTCTTTCTCCACGCAGCCAAGTCAAAGACATTCATCCCAAAGGCCCATGCACATTCATCAGGATCTAAGTTTTTGAATATAAGAGGATGAGAGAAATTGAAATATGTTCTGAATCGCTTGGACATCACCCATCCGTCTTCCCCTCTACAAGTTTCAACGGCACCATTAACCTTTCCTTCAAGATCAATCTCCCAAAGTGGCAAAAGGTCACGCTGGATAACAACATCATCATCAAGAAAGACCACCTTGTCGAGATTTGGAAAGAGCTGATATCATAAATACATGCAGCTAGTATCAGCATGTAAGTAGAACCAAATTCAAGAATAAAAGAAGAACAAAGAAAATCAAAACCAAGCAGGATTATGACGAAGCTGATTTACAGAAAAATCAAAAGTAATAAAAATCTTCACCCTAGGTCCTCCGTCACTAGTCAGAAGAAAGTGCAAGTTGAGTTGGAGAAAACCATAAAGCAAACAAATATTTTATTAGATATCACAATTCTACATCCTAAATGGGTTGGTTTCAGAAATCAGATGAGTTCTAAAAGGTGCAAGAAACTTTATTTCATTTTTTTCCACCAAATGCAATGGATTCAATGAATTGCTTCGTTTGCAAAGATTACTTATTCTATGATCTTAAGCTGCTCTTTTGAACAGGAAACCATGAGAATAAAAAGGAAATATGAAAGAGAAAGAGACGCATTAAAATATTTTACTCCTTTTTGACAATCCTGAATAGGCAAAGCTTCTATTCCCTACGTTCAAGTATTCAAATAAAAGAAAAATAAGTTTCAACCTAATTTCCATTCCTTTTAATAGGTGGGCTCAGATATATCCTTGATGTAATGGAACCATCCGTCGATCTCATCCAATTTTGTCCACTATTTCACTACAGGTTTGAAGTTAAATCCCTAAGATCTCTTTACCCTACTGGGTACATTAATTTCCAGTTATATTCCAAGAACTGAGTACTAAAATCCTTTAAATTCTAACACCTCTATCTTTCAATGGTAGTATATCTTAGTGTTTATGCACAGAAGTACTGGAAAATTTCATTTACCTCAGGCAAGTATATACGAAGATGGTTCAGTACTGAAATGTACTTTGGACTTCTGGACTGAAGTTTGGAAGCGAAAACCCTTGGGTTGTCGGTGACATTGGTCCCTACCACATGATTCCCATGATAATGATTTCTAACAGCAAGGTGGTTCTCTATAGCTTCGAGAACAGGGACATTTTCTCTCGTCAACCAGTCAAACTGGTGAACACCTTTCACCTCGATAATGGCTGGATATACAGGATACAAGGCAAACCATGAATGCATCCCAGGGTAAGTCTTCTTATCAGTGATAACATGAAAAACAATCTTTTCGGGTCTTGAAGAAGACTTCACGGCTGAGTTCACCACTACTGAAGCTGCAAGGATATTATCAGTGGCTAGAACAAAATGGAGGTAGGAGTTGTCAGAGAGAAAAGGTAGCGACTCTGGGGGTGGCAGCTGTTTCCTTGCATGAGCGTTGGAAGAGTACTCATCAGTCAACCGCAAGGAGAGACAGTGAATGCCTTTCGGAATAGCACTGGCTGCAAAATGTTTGTGCAATTGTTCTGCCAATCTTGATCTTTTTATCTCCTCCTCCATGAGCTCTATCTGCAGTGGCAACTGGTTAGTTAGAAAATAAATAAAATGCGTACCAAGGAATACTGCTAGGAATAATATGGACCACAGATTAAAAACAGATACAAATAATAAAAAAATATCTTCTCGAAAAAATAATGAGAAGTATATTAGGTGCAACAAAGAAATTTCTTTGAGTTGGAAATAAAAGAAAACAGCGAAGTGGGATTCCAATAACCAGTCAACCTTTCAGGAGAACAAATATGACAAGAATTAACTGCCAAATTAGCCAACAATAACAAAGATCAATGGTGTATCCTGCTGCGTCTGTCAAATGTGCTTCTCTGCTTGCTGATATAAAAGATAAATCTAGGGAACTAAGGGAATAATCACGATGTATCAGCGTTAATATAGTGTCGCTCAATTTTACACCATATGGAGTTATTTATTCACTAGAATATAGAAATTACCGATCAGTGTATAGCTGTTGTGTATACTTCACATAAGGAACCACTGTACCTCTGAGTCTCTGAGTGTCGATCATGTATCCTAATAGCAAATAGCATTTCAGCAGACACAAGATGCTTACAGAAGCATGGGAAATTAGTAAAAGTAAGGAAACATTATAATAAGTTGACTACAGTATATTCCAGGTGTATCTTAGAGCATCATTCATGTTAGCAATTCTGTGGAGACTAGCATTCAACAAACTCTTGAGAAATTTCCGATAGCAACTTCATGATTTCAACAGCAATTCTGTGGAGACTAGCATTCAACAAACTCTTGAGAAATTTCCGATAGCAACTTCATGATTTCAACAAAGAAGCATGTAACATATCTATAATCCAAACTCTTGAGAAATTTCCGATAGCAACTTCATGATTTCAACAAAGAAGCATGTAACATATCTATAATCCTCGGATGTCTATTGATTGGATGGTGAACTGCAAGGTAAATTTAAAGTATTCAGAAATCTGTATGCCCTAACTTAAATGGTTCACAAATATCTATAAAAGGTTCAGTAAACATCTCTACATAATATATTTTAGAATATAAATCAAGCGAATAAAGCATCAATGAACGGTTCTATGCCTGTGCTAGAAATTTGTGGAATGAACACAACATCCCTCACATTTTTTCTACTTCTTTGTAGTGGGGCCCCAATTAATATCTTCGGTTAGTACATATGGTAAAATCCAAACTTATCTTTACAAGTAGGCAGACATTACAATGAAATCACATAACTGATATATACATCTGTACTATAAAACACAACTCTAGCAACTACGATATCCATGCCAGACAACTATTCTTCAATTCTAGCAGGCATACAAACAGCAATATGCCCACTGCCTTAAAGGTCGTTATAACATATTGGGTAAATTGCAAAAAAATGACATATTGTTTCCCGTTTTATCACTAAAATGACCCCACTTGTAAAACTTTTCACTTAAATGACCCCACTTGTAAAACTTTCCACTTTAATGACCCCACTTGTAAAACATTTTACTTAAATAACCCCACTTGTAAACTTTTTCATTTTAATGACTCCACTTGTAAAACTTTTCACGTAAAACAAGCAACGACAAGCATTCATATCCTTACAAAAAAAATTTACAAATATATCCAACATGACATTAACTAAGCAAAAACAAATCAAAGGTATAAATGAGAAAAAACAGATATGCAACAAACAGAAGATCAATTCTCGTTAATACTTAAAAACTTCCATTACAAGATGAGCATTCATATGCTTACAAATTTGAGTACACCAATCCGCTCATTTTGCACAGATATTCCATTAAATTAATAAGAAAAAAACCACAAAAACACCCAAATACATATAACATAAGGGTAGTTTGGTGTAAATTAATGACATACCAGTGGTATTAAAGGAACGCATAGTGTTACATGACCCCCCACATGGGAATATCCCAGCATATTTTAACAGATCATTAACGTCCAGAACTTTCGGTCATTAAGCAGCAACATTTGTAATCATTTGAATATTTATTTGAAAAGATTTACAAGTGGGGCCATAATAAAAATTTTTACAACTGGGGTCAATTGAGTGAATTTTTTTTACAAGTGGGGTCATTTAAGTTAAAAAAATGTGAAACGATACATCATCTCTGTGCAATTTACCCTAATATATTTCTAGATATATCTCCATTTTCTAATTTTCTTTTTTACTCGCAGCCTCCAATTATTATCATCGGTAGCCACCCAATACTAAAAACTGAACTTATCCCTTTTATGCATAGGTTCACATTGCGATGAGAAAACATAATTGATAGACCCCTCAGTCTTACAAAACACAGCTCAAAACTATGTTATTTAGACAATAATTCTGCAAAATGCCAACACCACCCACAATTATTATCGTTGATAGCTACTTATAGCAAAAACTAAAATTAACACCCCTTCGCAGCTACATTTTACCATGCAACACATAATTGACGATTCCTCTGTATTATAACACAGCTCACCATTATTCTGCAATTCCAATTTCACTTTTTAGCAATATATCACTGCCTGAAGCAAATTATCACATATATCTAAGTATAGCACTGGCTGAAAGGTTCCATTCTGATTATTTTCTGTCGTATGAATCTTATTCACCGTAACAGATGACATCATCTTACATAATTTGTCTACATAGAATAACCTGTCAAGGAGAAATTGGACCATGGTTGCACGAGCTTAAACTATATAATTGAAAAGGGTAAGTATAACTAAATGCCAACTGGTCATCAAGTTTCTACTGCAAGGCCTTCTCATTTCTGATTAGTTACCACGGCAAAGAATTTCCAATCAGGAGAGGGTTGACATAAGGTCACCAGACAGTCCTAAACCCTTGGATAGTTCGGGTTTGCTAACAAAAGGAATAAACAAGATACATACAAAATGATTTGAGATCCAGCTGTTTGTCTGAGAGAACTTTTGGCTAACATGAATTCTAACCAAGTAAAGAAAGTCTGAACCATATGAATTAGAATTGATGGTCATCTCTCTTACTCATGCTCATCACTTGAGGAACTTGAGAAGAAAAAACTTGCAATGCTTTTGGTAGAAAGTCTGCACATGTGCTTTGATTTTATCCATATCCAATATGTATTATCTGTACTTGGATGAAATATTCATATATCTAAAAATTTGCAATGTGCTCCAAACATATTAAAGATACATAATGATCTATTTGAGACTGGACTTAAAACAACCTGTGAATGAATGATAGATTAAGATTTCATTTGACTTTCAATGTATGTATGAAGAATTATGCTTGCTCTCTTAACTATGATTTGTATGACTTGATTATCTATGATTTTGTGTTTCTTAAACGATTATAACCTTATAAATCTATGTTATATACTACTATACATGTATGCCATACCCAAACCACAGCAGCCTACCCTTTCTTACTCATCCGATTCTGGTTTACCTTCTTCATACTGAAGAAGATTTGCTTATATAATGTATAACTGCGAACAGATCCCCTATAGCATCACCCAATTGCAAAGAGACCCCTGCAACTCTATTTGTTATGAATGGACCCCTTGTAGTTCTATTTGTTCCAAATAGACACCCCCCCCCCCTTGAATTTTTTTTTTTAAAATTCTCAAAATCGTTAAAGATGTTTGAGTAGGTGGATAGACCCCTTACAGTTCTATTGGTGAGGATAGACACCCAATTACTTTTTCTATTTTTACTTTTAAAAGAGTTGAAAAAGTTCACTAAGGTAGGTTTATTAACACTTGGGTCAATACTACAGAGGGTGTACTCACAACAAGTAGAACTATAGGGGGTCTATTAGCAACAATTAGAATTACAGGGGGTTTCTTTGCAATTGGTTGATGCTATAGAGGATCTGATCACAGTTAATCTATACAATATTAGATTAAAGAAACAGATTGGGAGACAATAAAATTGGTGCATACTAATTTCTAAAGTCCAACAGAAAAGTTGTAGAATTAGAGATCGATGAACAAAATTTCGTTTATTGCAATGGAGATTGCTGTGAGTCCCAACAGAGTGATTCTATATATATAAAAAAACCTAAACCTAAACCTAAATCTTCTACTACTTAGTCTTCTGTATATTCTTTTTCTAAATTTTGGTGCCCGGACCCATCAAAAACATATGAAACAATTATGAATTGCAAATATTTCTATTTACCATGAAAGAAAAGATATGGTTCTATCACTCACTTCATTAAAACGCTTTCCATGAAAATTTTGTACATATGAAACAATTATGAATTGAAAAAAGTTCTATTTAGTATTTACAATAAAAGAAACGACATGTTTCCATCACTCACTCCATTAAAATGCTTGTCATGACAATTTAATACTTATGTTATTCTTCTATTGAGACTCAGCAGCATTTATTCTTTGAACGTGTGTTCTCAGCTTAAGTACAGTATCATATTATCAATTGGGCAGGTTTTAAATAGAGGAGCAGTGTATGGGACACTGTTTTTCAGTATGTCAATCATCAGAAGAATGATTATAAGGCAACAGTGGAGAGAATGGTGATGGCTGCAGCAGTTTATGGGGTGTGCCATGTAGTTTGAAAGAAATGCCAGATTACATTCAGATGTTGCTGCAAATCCTGATATGGTGATAAAGAGAGTTAAAGTTGCTTATCTACATTGTACAGATTCCCCATTACTCTTAAAAATAAGGAATGGGTTGATACTTTAAAGATAGTAGAGTGTTTTTGAGAGTTTGTTATTGCTTTATATAGATGATTATATAGCTTGAGATTGTACACACTCAGGGATGCCTGAGGTTTTGATGTAGTCTAAACGTTTACTTAGTGAATGGAAATTTTTTATTCATTGACCCAAAAAAAAAACTCTATTTAACATGAAACAAAAGATATGCTTCCATTACTTACTCCATTAAATGCTTACCATGACAATTTAATACTTCCAAGAAAGTCAAATCAACATTCATATTTCACTTTAATAATATAAGATAAAATGACTGAGTACTGCCATCATGAAATTGCCTTATTGCCATCATGAAATTGCCTTCCATCCGATTATTATTCTATGATGTTGATGTTGATGTTGATAATGTTCTAATTCAAGGAGTATATAAACATGTAGCAGAAAAGAAACCTAGAAAATTAGGTGTATAGCAGAAAAATAAAAGAACGTGGCCAGATACGCCCTTTTACTATTCTGCAAACGCCTAATCACAAGGTAGGGAAAAAAAAAGATGAAATAGAACATAGCTAATTTCATACCATGGCCTTTAACCTTATAGCAAATGTCTTTGCATCGTATTGGTTGTTCTTGACATCAGAAAGAAAATGACTAAATGATTCTGGCAACTCGACACCAACTGGAACTTCCTCAGAATTTACTTGTTCAAATATCTTGTACAGATCTCTTACTAGCTTCTGTTACAATCAATCAATTAACCAACATGAGTATCATCACATTCTAGTTCTTAAGAAAATCCTGCCGATCCTGCCTATTATGACAATTTGGAAGATCAAATAATTGTATCGAAAGAGAAAAAACTCACCGTTGAATCATCTCCACCCCTACCCAAAAACTTTGGTCCCAGTCGCCTTCCTAAACAATCTGAATGCAAGAATAATTGGTCATTATGCATGTAAGCCCGACAAAAAATTACTTATCATAACACAGAAATCGACATAATTTGCCAACTTAAATGTGGACAAGAAAATTTATGCTTAATAAAAGGCACATACATAATGTGAATACCTGTTGAACAAGAACGCAACATATATTTTATACTAGTAAGAGAATCCTACCAGGGAAATGCTACATTTCTGAAAGCCAGTTTTTAAAGTCAATAACTAAGACCCAAAATGTTCAAAAATGTAGGTTACAATTCCAAAATTCTAAAATGGTCCAAACTTGAAAGCCATTAAAATATTAAAAAAAATCGGAAAGTTTTGATGTTGTAAACTTGTAATAAAGTCAGTATTCCTCTAAATACAAACAAAGGGTCACAAAGTAGTAAACCTTCAAATGTCTGGATTTGAAAAATAGACTTAAACAGCATGCAGGCTGATATTGATATTAAAGAAACCAGTAGTTAACAGTTTGTAATTACCTCAAACGAAAAGAAATGGACTTGTGCAGTTAAGAAATAATAACATATGTAACAAATGAGTGTCATAGAAATAAGAAGGTTATGATGGACTTGTAAATATTACTAAGAGATAGGGGAAGAAACTGCCGCACTTAAAGGATGCTGCTATCAAGGATAAAATGAGAGAAAATTAGATGAGATGGTTTAGCCACATAATGCGCCAATTAGGAAAGCTCAATAGATTATTATAATTAATGGAGTAAGGAAGACTAGGGGTAGGTCTAAGAGAAATTGGTTTGAAATAATAGTATACAATAGTAGTTAACTTAAAAGAGGAGGTAGCACTAAATAGAATCGAATGGAAGAATAGGATTTAAATAGCCGACCTCATATATTCTGGATAAAGACTTTGTTGTTGTCATTGTTGCTACTATTGATGTATCTATAAATCAAAAACCAAAACAGTAAACTAAATGCAAAGCTATGAGCCTATCACAGCACAAAAAATGCAAACATATTTTTTGCATATAGAAAATATGGGCAATATCAAAAGCTAAAAGATGAGGTCGTTTTTAACAGTTACGGGCACACGACATTCATGAGGCATAAAAAGGATGTGGAGAGCATATGCCATCCTCATCCAAAGACCGCTCTTTCAAACTCAGAAAATCAGATTGAGATCCACATAGAGACTTGATAAAAGTAACACAAGCAAAAAAAAAAAATCACATGTTCAATTAACCAAGCATCTAAAGAATCTAGATCTTTAAAAACAAAAAAAGAAATAGGAAAAAGTTGAAATAAAAGCTAGCTTTCTAATTCCAAAAGTAAATTCCATTTCATCAGAAATCCCATAAGCAAAACTGAAAAAAAATCCCAACCTCATTCATTATCCTAAATCTGCAAAACTTTACATATTTAAAACCCAAATCACCAACTCCAAATTAATCATCCTACCAATTCAACCTATATTATTCCAAGTTCAACCACCATAACAATTGCCCCTGCCATTCTTATCCAATAATCATATTTATAATTTATCCATATCGAGCAGTAAATTAAATTTTCCCCCAAAATGCATTAAAGCAATCCAAACATTTAATTCTTCAATTGTCATCCTAAGCCAAATTTAGCAACATAAATTTCAAAAAAAAAGTTGCCAATTTTAATAAAAACCCACCAACCCAAATCGACATCCAATCAACTCCTAAAAAAATCATACCCTTGCTTCCCAACAACCAATCAAGGATTATCAGCTCATTCTCCCCAATCCCATTCCCAATAATTAAACAAGTAAAATGTTCCAAAAGAAATATCCCAGCTAACTAATTCAAGGTACAGATCAATTAGATTACCAAAAGAAGAGCAGTTGTTGACCCCTTCGAGCGTGACGATGGCAGTAAGGATGAAGACGAAAGGCAAAAGGAAAGCGAGGATAAGGATCGTGTGGAAGAGGGTCCTATACGAGAATGAGCGAGGAGCAATCTTGACAACCTTCATCAAATCCGAGAGATGCCCGCTTTCGGCACCGACATTGAAGTTGTTGCCGTTGCTCGAGGAAGAAGAAGATGATGATGATATGATAGTGATGCTTCTCATGCTCGGCGAGATCCGAACCTGCATCGTCCCCGACCCCTCCGAATTGGGACGGAGATTGGGGACAATTTTTCCTTCTCTTTTTCCGTTTTTGAGAGAGAGACGGAGAGTATTTTTTATTTTTATTTTATTTTTCTTTTTCTTTAAAATGGACAAAATTTTGTGAAATGGAGTATGCAAAGTATTAAATTGGGGAAGGGGTGTGTAAATTTAGGGATCGGGAGGGGGTGATGTGGAATTAGTTGATGCATCCTCGGTCGCAGGAGAGGGGGAGAGGATTTAGGAAAGGTGCGAAGTTTGTTTCAAGTGTTCATTCGAAAATTTCAAATTAATTAGTAGGATAAAATTGCACTAAACTCTCAATAATTTGCAGTGTTACGTAGTGAACTCCTAATAATTTTCAAAATTGCAGTAAACCCCCAATAACTTTTGGAGCTGCAAAAAACCACTGATAGGTTTACGTATTTTGCAAAGAACCCCATAAATTTGAACGAAAAACAAAATATAAAAACATTTTGAAAGTTTTTTGGGGTTTAGTGTAATTTACATAAAATACATTGGTGCTTTTCCGCAAAAGGTAGTGGGTGTTTAGTGAGATTTTGAAAGTCATCTGGGGTTCTCCTAAATGATAAAAGCTGTTGGGGGTCTAGCATAATTTACCATAATTAGTAATCATAGAAAATGCATTTTACGTTCAAGATGGATGCAATCGTAGAATAAGAAAGAACCAAGAAATGCATGCAAGATATCATAGAGACTATGAACATAAAAACACCTGAAAAAATAGCGATGTACAATCAATTTTCTATGTTAGATATATATTTTATCATAACATGTTTTCTTATTTATGTGTTGTACTCGTGCATTCATTCTAAATTATTATTGAAATAAGTTTTTATGAAAATTACTATTAACATTATAGATAGATTGGTACATAGCGTCTCTAATGTAGCTTGATTTCAAGCACATTCTCAAAAGGTTTTTTTGCCCCTAGAAATCATATTACATTAAGGGTCTATTCGGTTGTAATTTTTGAGAATCCAAGTTTATAAGAATAAAAAGTAGGTTTTAGCCCATTATAGGATTCTTTAAGTGGTGTTTTTTTCAAAGAAAAATTTAGGAATAGGCTTCCATAGAAAAGAGAAAAGAGCTCATTTTATGGATTTTTCAAATCCTCTTTCTTGGCCTAGATTTGGGCTAAAATTTTTGCTGCCTAACAGGAATATAATAAGAATGATAATTTAAAAACCAAATTAAAGAGTTAGAAAATTCAAGCATGATCGGGAGCAGTCGTGATGTCACTGCCCTAGAATATTGAGGACCCGCCTATCGCCCTAGCGCAATCTGTCCCCTCTTCCCTAGCGGTAAAAACCCCCGGAATCGGTCGGCCTCTGCACTCGGGCGTGAGTCACAGAGCTTATGCTCAGACGAAAACGGTTGCCCAAAAATATAAATGTAAATATGTAGCCGAAATTTCTTAGGGAAATGAGAGTAGAGGAAGAGAGCTTTGAAGTTTTTCTTCTCTTCGTTGGTGTGTCTCTGAATGAGCTCCACGCCTGCTTATATAGGTGAGGAGAAGTGTAACCCCCGCTGAATTCAAGGGACCGTTATGCACGAATCTTGCTTCTGTTACCCGCATGCAGCCGTTACAAAATATGTAAAACGTGCAAAAATAAAAGCTTGAGACGCACAAAAGTGTAAGTGTGCGGCGTGGCGTGGCGTGCGCGTGCGAGCGAGGCGAGGCGTGGCGTGCGCGCGCGTGTGCGAGCAAGGCGAGGAGTGGCGTGCGCACGCACGTGTGTGAGATAGATATGCAAAGCCCACAAAACCCAAAACACTATTCAAAGCCCAATAAGGAGAGAACCATTATATACCATATACTATTCATCTCCTTTTCTAACGTGGGACTATTCACAAAGGCAAAATTGCCTTTTCATAAACAAAACATCCAACAGTCTCCCCAAAAGGATATTGACTGAAAACTCAAAAAATAATAAATAAATAAAAAATCACAAAATAAATATAGGTTGGGCAACCTTTCGTATCGTGAATTCGGGAGAGGTAGCTTTTGGCTTTGAACATTTCCTTAGTGAGTTCATCGCCACCTGAGGGACATAATGGACTAGGCCATGAATTAGGCCCCTTGAATCAGGTATTGATAAAACACACACAATACATTTTCATCTATTGAGCTAAGCGGGTTGAGCGTTAAAGGTCATGCTCATAAAAACCCGACTCATGAGAGTTTCTAGGGGTTAGCCCTGCCCCCCCCAACCGCGGCCATCACGGTTCCTCTCACGTAGGTAAGTCCTCAAAGGGTACTACAGCTGTTTATTTAATACCCCCCACAATACACGCGTTGGACTTATTAAGAGTAAAACTCAGCCTAGCCAGCTGTATCATAAGAGCATCGTCATCATAGAGAAGGGGTAGTAGCAAATGCTACATAATGATATATAAATATATCTAGGTCAATGCTCCACACGAGTGTCACTAGTCCAGCTTGTTTCTACCACATTGAACCGACATTGGGACTACGTCTCCAAATAAGGGTTGGGTTGCCGCTGTCAGTGACCTCATCTATGGGCTTAACCCCATCTCCCTCGATGAATCCAGAACCACACTCCTGGATAATCCCTTAGTCAAAGGGTCATCAAGATTCTTTTCACAGACTTTACAAAGTCTAGAATCATAACTTTGCCTAGCAGGCGTTGTATTTATTTATCAAGTTCTTATTTTGTAATTAGTCCATCATATTGTTTGAAATTGACATTAGGTCATGATCTATGATCATAAAAGATCATAGTCTATGTCTGAAGAGATTGACCTTAATATCTGAACATTTCAAACTAATGTGGAACTAAAAATTTGCAGGTGGCTCGGCCAAAGCCGAGCCACCTGCAGGTGGCTCGGCCAAGGCCGAGCCACCTGTGGGTGGCTCGGCCAAGAGCCGAGCCACCCACAGGTGGCTAGGCTCAGAACTGTGCAAATGCACAGTTCTGAGTGCCTATAAATAGGCCAAGGCATTGTTCATTTCAGAGGTTGGATTTTGGGAGGGTCGAAGCTCTGCCGGATTGGAATCTGAGATCTAAAAAAGATTGGAGCTTTAGAAGATTGAAGACTTGGACTTTGAGATCCGGTTCTCGGCGATCATCCACGCCAAACAAGGCAAGTGTTCGAGAGGGACCGGATCTGAGATCTACACGATTTTCCTCCGGATCTAAGCTTGGTTCTTAGATCCCGAGAAGAGTCTCGAATTCGCTTGGTCGATTTCGACACTTGGGCTACTATTTCCTTGGTGAATTAGTACCCCACCCGGCTATTATTTCCTTCGTGAGATAATACCCGTCATATCGTGTAGATCCGACCGGATCGAGATCACGCGGTGGTCCACGGCAAATAACCCCGGCGCAGGCAAAGAACCCACACAAAGCGAGTGACCGCAAAACAGGAGCTCGCGATTCGTTCGACATAAAAGGAAATAAATTGTAATCTTTCTTTTTTTGTATTTTGATTTTCATTGTAACCGGATCTTATAAAAAGACCGGATCTTTGTAACGCATAAAGTTGTTAACTAAGATGGCAATGATATCAATGAAGAAAGCAACGATTTTTCCCGCGAACAATCTGGCGACCACAGTGGGAGCCACCGATCTCGCCGACGAGATCGTTGCGTCGCAGCCGCGGATCTCGATCCCGGTCGAGGAGGAGGTCGAGTACGAATTCGACCAACAAAAGTTCGAGGAGTATCTGTCATCCTCGTCCAAATCCACCTCCCCTCGCAAGTCCAAGTCTCCAAAGCTCTCTTCCAAGAGAAAACTTCGTTGGTACGAAGAAGTTGAAGCTGCCAACGAAGATCTCGCCCTGTTTGATGCCGAAGCTGCATTGGGTGAGATCTCCCCAACTTCCAACCAGGTCGGATCTGCTCTGGCCAAATCCTCCGTTGCCGAAGGCGTAGTGACTCTCTCGAAGAGAGCCCGCCAAAGGCAACGGCAACGCCTTGCGAAACAATTCGTAAAGGCCATGGAATCTGTTGACGGGGTTCGCTACAAGGCGGATCTGAAGAACAGAAGAGGCAAGCAGCCTCAACAACCGACGAATGGCGCCTCTTCCAAGCCGCCAACAACAGAATGGGTTCGCGTCAAACGGAGCCGATCAACGCTGGAGGAGCGCATTCGTAAGCGCCGCGCACTATCAGCGCAGGCACGGGCTCAAATTGAAGAAGCCCGTAGAAGACTGCAGAAGGAGGTAGCAAAGAAACCGCTCCCAACCCGCCAAGTATGGAGGTTGAAATCTGAAACGGCAATTCAGGTTAAGGCACAATCGTTACAGCCTTCAAGACGAGTTCAACCTCCCGAACCATCCCGAGGAAAGAGGTCAATCTTGGAGCGCCTTGGTCCAATCCCCGACGGGTGCAGCAAAGTTCATGAACGCTTGGGCCCTATGAAGAAATCCCGAACGAGCCAACATGCTGGGGGTCGATGTCACTTTCAGCATGACAAGGAATTCACGACACCCAAGCGCACTACCTTGCGCATCGAAGTTCGGGAGCCCGCTGAGAATTCATGTCTACAAAGGCGTGTTTCGAGGCGAGTGACTCTCGGAAGTCCAAATAAGGCAATTTGCCCCCAGAAGGAAATGTTGTCGTCCAGTGATGATAACGTTATACCTGGGATATCGTGCCAACACGCGATAGGTTACTCCGATCAAATGGACGAGTTGTACTATCGTGCTGGGGGTACGAACAAATCCAGAAAAAGGAATCCCCAGAGGATAGAGACTCAGTGCCCCTGTTCCAAACTCATTCGGGCGGTATTGTCTCAGTGTAATTGCACTAAGACGGTCCCCGAAAGGGTTTCGGTGTTCGAAAGGCTCAGCACTAAAACGCCAGAGCCAAGGCCTAAGCGTTCCCGACGAAGGAGAACGGTGGTTGAAGACAGAGAATGTCCGAAGGTCACCGCCAACATGACCAGCAAAGAGACATCGACACAGATTGATCTCAAATCGTTTCTGGAAGCGTCCCGGCGTGTAACCCGTCTGCAGTCCGGAGCCATCGCACGAGGAACTTATGGTAGGGTTCGGATAAGATTGCATTCGGAAGATGAAGAATCGGATTCCTGCTCTGCTGTCGCATCGGACAATACAGTG